GCAGTGTCTGAGAACCATACATGATTGAATGGAAGAAAAAAAAATCTAAACACCTTCAGAACCTTTGGTAAGTCAATTAATGTTATATTGCTATTCCAACTACACTAATGGATCTCTCTAAGTGGTTTATAGAGTCAACACATTGCCCCCAACAATCTGGGTTTCCATTTTATTGACCTTGGAAGGATGGAAGGCTGTCAGTCCTGAGCTAGGTGAGATTTGAACTGCCAAATTGCAGGCAGCCAGCAGTCAGTAGAAATAGCCTGCAATACTGCATTCTAACCACTGAGCCACCACAACTTATTGGAATTCAATTTCTACCCTACAGCACTGAACTTATCTTCAAGGCAGGGGTCCCCACCCTCAGTCCATGGACTGGCACCGGTTTGCGGCATTCACGGGATGCAAGCAGCATACAAACCATGTACCCTCTGATCTGTGAAAAAACCTCTCTCTTTCCATGTCCCCGATTCCCAAAAGATTGGGGGCTTTGGCTTCAGGGTCTTCCTAAGCTTGGCAGTTAGCTAATAGCAGCCCAAACCAGTGGGGGGTTCCTACTGGTTTGGACTGCTTTGGGCGAACAGGTAGTGGTTTGGTGGCCTGGGTCGCTGGAACCAGCAGTGACCCAAGCCTGCCACACTCCTGAACCGGTTCTCCAGGTGGTGCTGTAGGCGCCACCATCTTGTTTTTTGCTTTTGTGCATGCACAGAGCAATTTGTATTGTGTGGCGCACCCACAATGAACCAGAAGTAGTGACTGCCACAACCCAGCCCTGGTCCAGACAGTGGCAACAACTATTATAGTTCTACACGGAAACTTATGACTAAATACAGGGTATTTAGGGGGCGAAAGTAATGGACCACGTCAGGACAAAAATCCTGCCGTAATCCAGTGGAAAATATTTGTTCCCTTTCTTGTATTTCTAGACACTAGTTTCTGTAAAGGCTTCTCTCTCCTGTTCTTAATTCCATTGGCAACAGAGAACCAAAGTGATAATGTTTATTAGTCTGAGAAACAGCATGCATGGCAAATAAGAGCCAGAGGAGTACAGGCCAAGCATTTTCAAAATAATATTTATTTCTTACTGTTCTATCCTGTAGGCAAATATGACATATTTCCCCCTCTTTCATAGTTTATAACTTGTAATCTGCTGATAAACGTTCACAATTACACATTTTACATTCAAGAACAAATTGTATGTACCTAAGGTAGCTTATCAAGAACACATAGAATATAATCCATATATAATCCATCATAAAAAGTCCTTAATTATGGCAGCATTAAAGGCTTTTTTTTTTGAAAAAGTTATTTGCCCTTTCATAGTTTTACTATTGCTTATCTTAAAGCTGACAACCAGCTGCAAGTGTTTACTGTCTCTATAGGATTGGGTAGTCCTTTTAGTTCTAAAAGACATCTTAATCTAAAATATCTACATGTTGTACAGCTTCTGTACAGGACTGTACAATACTTTCAGTAGAATTGGAGAAAAAGCTCGATTTAACTTTTCCATTGAAAAAGAGACATAGGAAACTTGTTGAATATACCTGCCATTCAGAATTCTATGCATAAATTGAGAGCGGCAGATAATGTATTGAAGTCAAACAAGGTTAAGAATCAAGCATAGTAACTATTTTCTATGTGCAGCTACTTTAACAGCAGAATCTGGTTGTTGATTCCTTTACCTTTTGCTCTATGAAACAAAGGTAAGCATAAGAACAATGTGTTAACTTCATCAGTTATTCAGCTCAATACTGTGATAGCTTTTATTATATTCTTATCAACAAAAAAACCCACATTTTACAGAAATTATGTATGCACACATGCAGTAACATACTGAGTGTAAAAACAGATAGCAGTTTTAGAACACTCTACTTTCTTATAAATTAGGATTATCCTAGTTGGTGGTGGTATTATTATTATTATTATTATTATTATTATTATTATTATNCTCCCCCCTCCCTCCCCCCCTCTCTCAGCTCAACATAGGTTATTTTGCCAAGCAATTGAAACAGGCTGAGTAGTATATCTCGTATGGAAGCCCAAATTGAAATGGATGAAAATAAAAAGTAACATCCAGTTTCAACTGAAGCTATCTGAATTTATGAAATCCATACAATCCAGCCTAGCATGGCAAGATAAATAGAATGCGTGATGTTCAATTGTGGTCCTTCTGCTGAAGAAAGACATCAAGGAGTTATAACATTTTCATCTACACTTTATCTCCTTCATCTCAATCCACATCTGCTGTAGAAATCTGGCAAAATCTTCTGAACAATGACGTTGGTATTGGAGATAAAAGGGGAAGGGAACCAACAATTACTCTTTACATCTTTTACTTGAAAATATTCACAGAGAAAAAGAAATAGGCCATCACTGAAGGGCACTTTACAAATACTTTAATATTTATCCATTTTATTCCTGATTGGCAAATACCAACTAAATAATTAACTACCTATCCAATCACTGATTAACTACCCAGCCAATCAATCTAATTTCCCAAAATATAAGGTTGTAATAAGGTATTTGTATAAATACACTTTCTCATTCATTCTGCTTCACATAGGTAGGCCAAGACTGGCTGAAGAGAGGGATGGACTGAAACCTTTTCTCAACCCATGACTTGTAGGTGAAGAGAATTTCCTGCCTCAGCTTCACCTTATGATGGGATAAAAACTTCTACGTTGCTTGACCACTGACCTACCAATGACATTGGAGTCAAGCTGGAAGACATAAACTCCAATGGTCCTAGTCCTGGTGTCTAAACCATGTAGCAATGAAATTGGCACTGCCCTTCACCTATTCCTTTTGCAGCATAATCTACATTTCTATGGGTTAATCATCATGGCATCAAACCAGAGGTAGTATTCTGCCAGTTTGGACGGGTTTGCCCGAACTGGTAGCAGAAATCGCAGGTAGCCCAGGCTCTATGGCATCCCATTTAGGCCCTTTTTTTAGCCAAAGCACATACTCAGAGGACTGAGCTCATGCACGGATGTGGGTGCGCTCACACTTGCAAACTGGTAGGGAAGGTAAGTGAATACCACCCCTGCATCAAGCCATTTTTATTGGGAGTCCTCAGTGAAAAATTATGGTACCCTAAACCTGATACAGATTATACAGTTTATATCTAAAATCTGCAGGCCCTTCTGACCCACCTTCATCTGCTCCAAAAGGTTTTATTATCTTGTATTTCTCAAAGGCTTACATTCCACTGTGCCTCTTAGCCCCTCTATAGCCTGTGTATTTTACTTTCAGCAATGTGTTTTCAATTACTTGGAAGAATAGGAGAAAATTAATGAGAAGAAAACATTAGTGGGAAGAAATAATTTAATTCTTACTGCCAGATCTACACAAAACAGAGCTTCTAAGCTATCTGTTGATTTCCCAACTAAAGCTGGCTCGATCACTATAACAAACTGCAAAGCTTAATTCTGCTCATTTTTTAGCAACTCAAGAGGTTTTCCTGAATTATTCTTTTGTAGTTCTGAAATCGGGGAGGGGGGATAGAGTGGGAGTGGGGGAGAGGCAGGGAAGGCAAAGGGCAGAGGTTTAATATAATGTGAAAATTTAATGCAACATATCTGCCTATGGACTATAATTCAGGAAGTGCTGCAGTTCCCATATACAGGTAGTCCTCAACTTACAACTGTTCATTTAGTGACCATTCAAAGTTACAGCAGCACTGAAAAAATGACTTACGACTGTTTTTTGACTGTTGCGGCACCTCCATGGTCATGTGATCAAACTTCAGACACTTGGCAACCAGTTCATATTTATGACCGTAGCAGCATCTCTGGGTCATGTGATCCCCTTTGGAGAACTTATCACAAGCAAAGTCAATGGGGAAGCCAGATTCNTATACTAGTCTCCCTTTATTTATTTATCAGCATAAATATAACATATATATATATATTTTCCTTAGACAATCCAATGCTGTGTGAGGCTTATATGGCATGCAATATATTTTTTATGGGCCACAGGAACTTCTTTCAGTGAGACTGCAGACAGCAAAACTATTCATATTGCTCGGTTCATCTTTTTTATATATCTTTTCTGTGGCTATATATTCTTGGCTCATGTTCTTTCTTTGAATCTAATAGTGCCTTAAATTTAAATTTCTCCTGTTTGTACAATCTCTTTCCATATTGTTCTATTTTTTACTTTCCTTTTTAATTCAATGTTTAAGCTGAAATATCAATATAAAATATGATTACAAATTGTATTGAAATGTTTTAAAAATACAAAATATTACTTTTTAAGCCTCTTTTTATTATAAAACTCTCCTGTCATTGTATAACCTATAAATCATCTGCCTTAGTTATTATTGCTACAGTTAGTCCTCAACTTACAACAATTGAGCACAAAATTTCTATTGCTAAATGAGGTATTTGTTATGGGAATTTTGCCTTATTTTACGACCTTTCTTGCCACATTTTTTAAGTGAATCATTGCAGTTGTTTAATTTAGTAACCTGGTTGTTAAGTGAATCTGGCTTCCCCACTGACTTTGCTTGTCAGAAGTTGGCAAAAGGTGATCATGTGATCCTGGGACACTGTCATAATTGTCATAAATATTAATCAGTTGCCAAGCATTTGAATTTTGATCACGTGACTGTGGAAATGCCACAACAGTTGTAACTTCAAACGGTCACTAAACAGACTATTGTAAGTTGAGCACTACCTGTACTCATGATAGGATAAAAAAAATTAAATATCTGAATATCCATTCAAAAACATTTTCATTAAAAAGAACCAGGCTGATCTAAATGTCTTCTTTTATGTTATTCCATGTTAGTTTTCTATAGCTCTAAAGATGTTTGCTAGTTGAGGAAGTATTTAGTTCTTAATAAATAGCGAGACACTCTTATTGTTGTTGTCCAAATGTAACACAAACATTCTATCCACATTCTACTAAGGAATCTCTGAGAAGTTTTAAAAGAGAATAATTAACCTGTTTGTATTTCAGTATAAATGGCATCACAAAAGTATTAACTGATGTACCTTGCCGGACAGGGATCTAGGTTGCACTCTTGGAGTTTTGGCTTTGGCTTGATGTTTTCAGGGTAATAATGGCAATATTGGTCAGCTACCACTCGATTGCTTCTCAGATCATAGCATTCAGAAGATGTAAGCTGATAACCTTTAAAAAAAACTCATATTGTGTAAAGATAAAAACAGTTTCGCAGTTCCACATCAACAAGAAAGTATAGTCTACTAATCTGAATAATAATGAGGTTCCACTAGGCAACCTACTGGGTCATTCTTCCCTTACCAAAACAGAGAAACAGAAGAACCACAGATGGGCAAAAAAGCAGTGGGAATGCGGGCGACTTTCAACTTCCTGCAGGCTTCCCCACTGACTTTGATTGTGAGAAACTGGCGGGAAGCATTGGAAATCACGATCATGTGGTGGCAACTGACTGTGGCGAGGCTGAAGCAGCCACAATTTTGTGAATATAACCGGTAGGTATGAAGACTCTGGATATTTCAACACAGGAATAACGGGTCCTAGATTTGGCATGCTTTCTTTCAGTTAGCAGGTTTGAGACAACTTGATTTAAAAAAATGTGCTGTGATGTACTGTTTGAGCTAACTGAAGGTTACAAACAGATAAGAGAGTGTTAGTCATATGTAGATGGACAGACTAATTGTAACTTGATATAGTAACATTCCTGCAAGAGATGTTGTTTATGGTTTGTAATGCAAAACTAAAACACAGCACATACACCTTCTAAGGCTAAGCATAACCATATTTGCTAGCATACGATATCTCAGAGGATTTTACAATTAAAAGCATGTTGATTTATAGCCAATGTACAATAGTGATTTTTCCGTAGTAAATTTTTCTTATAAAAACACCTTAAAATTAAAAGAAAAGAAAGAAAGAATTTTTTTTTTTAATGTTATTAAAGAAGGGACAAGCTGTGATGGTAGTGTTGCAGCTCAGGAAAACAACACTTTAAAACTTTTGTGGAAGCTAAGGGCCACTGTAGGTAGGGCATGGTAGAAATGGGTTTCTGTTACATGAACTAGTGCAGTGGGAGTGAACCTTTTCAGCACCAAGTGCCCGAACCGGAATGCATGCATGTGCACCGGAGCGCCAGAAACCCGAAGACCAGCTGGATGGTGCACATATGTGCTCAGGAAACCCAAAGACCAGCTGGATGGTATGCGGGGCGGAGCGCCAGAAACCTGAAGACCAACTGGCCGGTATGCATTCACATGCCAGCCACTTGGTCTTCGGGTTTCTGGCACGCACATGTGTGCAGGGCAGGTGGTATTCACACACACCAAAGCACTGGAGTGCCGGAAACCCGAAGACCAGCTGGCAATGGCGCATACACCCACAGAGAGGGCTCTGCGTACCACCTCTGGCACGCATGCCATAGGTTCGCCAATATGGAACTAGCGTATGCAACACACAAACACATCTCTCTCTCACACACACACAGTTAGCTAGTTATTGATGTTTTTGTTGTTTTATCTTAAATCTTAAATTTCATGTATCTTAAATCTATTTTAATGACACTGGATCAGTTTCCATCCATTATCATTAAGCTGCAAATGAATTTGGAGCTAAATGCAGCCCTGGGCTCTAGGGCAGCTCACCTAGTTATGTAAATCAAATATATATAAATGATCGTTCAAAGTTGATGAATTCTGCTTGCAGTTGGTAGAAGTGGTGTCATTTGTAATTTGGCTCTGCTTGTCTGTATATGAACATGATTCCTTACTTCTACTTAGCTCACCCCATGTGATACTTTATGCTTCTCTTTTAGTGATTTAATGCGCCAGATTGCTTTCCCCCCCCTATACAAATCTTGAACTTCTAAGGGCGAGTATAGAAAATGAACATAATAAAGAAATAAAAAGAAAGAAAGCACAAAATCTCCCTAGTTACTCATAAGTTCTGGGTGATTTATCTTTTCTCTTGAAGCCCAGCTTTGCATTCTTCAGTGGAAGCCTCCTTCTGTGCATTTTTCTCATTCCCCATCTCTAATTTCCTACATGGGAGTATCAGCTGTGGTTATCGCATTTCAATTACCAGAAGCCAATTGTCTTTTCTGCAGAGAAGGTGCTGCTACCCTTAACCACAAAGGCTGGATAGCTCCCTCTGAGGTTTTATTTATGAGCCATGGTGACAATTACTGGAGTGAAATGGAGTCTTCAAAAATTATTAAATCTTCAGTGGGAAGGTTAAACCATAGGCTGTTACTCGCACTAAGAAGTCATTATATATAGGGCTCTGTATGCATGAAAAGGTATTAACCTTTCTCCCTCCATTTGATTTAGGACAAGTAATAACTTGGAAGTCATGCTTTAAGAAAGTTACAGGTCTGGCATTTATTTATTTAGCGTATGGCAACAGGTCTGACAATGAATATAGTATAGAATCAGTAAAAATAATTTTTTGTCTTGATAAAACGATAGCAATGCTACCTGGGCACCAAAGTTCAGCTATGGGATGACTTTTTAAAAATTCTCAGCCACATCAAACCAACTCCAAATAATAATAATGGTTATACCAGATGTACTGTAGTGACAGCTCCTTACCACTGTCATTTTTCATGTGAAGAACCAAAGGGAACAAGGATCAAAAAGCATGAACCTGTTCTCTGCCCAGCTCTATCCATATTATAAACCCCAAGCCCAGGAGTACTGTAGATTACCTCTTCAGTCCTGCCTTGGGCTTATGTATTCTCCTTATTCAACTAGACAGCAATTAGGAAATATTGTATATATTTTTAATTAAACAAAATGCATGACTTCAACTCCTCTTTCACCACAGAAAATTTGTGTATATAACAATTATTTCAGGAACTATATTTTTAGATTGTAATCAATAATTTTATAAATGTGGAATAATTAAGAAAAGATAGATAGGTTGTGAATAAGGGAACAAACCAAAATAAATATTGATATTAAAATTTAGGGATTGTAGTTGTCTAATAATCTGTCACTTTTCCATTTTGCCTTTAGAAAAATACAATTTATTTTAAAAATAATAGACTGAAAATGAGAGATGAGAACTTTTTCTTTCAAGATCTTTCTGGAGGTAGCTCTGTAAAAAGGTAAAGGTTCCCCTTGCACATATGTGCTAGTCGTTCCCGACTCCAGGGGGCAGTGCTCATCTCTGTTTCAAAGCCAAAGAGCCAGCGCTGTCCAAAGACATATCCGTGGTCATATGGCCAGCATGACTAAATGCCAAAAGTGCACGGAACGCTGTTNTGACTGATGGTGATTTTGTCAATTTTTAACTGTTTTAAATGTAATTCCAGTGCTTTTGGAATAGCACCCAGTGTGCCAATTACAACTGGAATTACCACTGCTGGTTTGTGCCATAGTCGTTGAATTTCGATTTTTAAGTCCTGGTATTTTGCGATTTTTTCATGTTCCTTCTCGGCGACCCTGCTATCACATTATTATTATTATACAATTGTATCACAGCGGCCAATTGTTTCTCTGGATTTGGCATTGGTTACTAGTCGGGCCCCACCCATCATCATCATCATCATCATCATTATTATTATTATTATTATTGGTATTATTTAAAGTTGTATGCTGCCTAGAGTTGTATGCTGACCTCTGCGCAGCTCACAACAATCAGCCAAAGAAATGACAGTATAAAAAAATATAAGCAAAAAGGTGGCATCTAATGGTCATCTGGACTTTTGCAGCCCAGATATGGACTCTCTAAAAAGATAAAGGTTCCCCTCCCACAGATGTGCTAGTTGTTCCCAACTCTAGGGGGCAGTGCTCATCTCTGTTTCAAAGCCGAAAAGCCAGTGTTTCCAAAGAGGTCTCCATGGTCATGTGGCCAGCATGGCTAAATGCTGAAGGCACACGGAACACTGTTACCTTCCCACCAAAGGTGGTCTCTATTTTTTCTACTTGCTTTCGAACTGCTAGGTTGACAGAAGCTGGGACAAATAACGGGAGCTCACTCCGTTATGCAGCACTAGGGATTCGAACTGCCGACCTTTCTGGTCGACAAGCTCAGTGTTTTAGCCACTGAGCCACTGCATCCCCTTCTTTTTCTTTTTTTTGGACTCTTTATAAATAAAGCCCCCTGTTCATGTTACAATCTCTCTAAAATAAAGGAGCCATACAGTCTTGTGTGAAACAGAGTTCCAAGGTTATTAGAAGTATTTCAATATAATAAGCGTATTTTTACTTACATAAATGATCAGGACCTTTCAACACTAGGCGAACATGACGGCTTCCATAGGGAATAACAACAACGGTGTCATCCACTGGATTGGGGAGGCAGGAAAGCAAAAAAACACACATGGTCAACAAGCAAAGGAAGCTCAACCAAGCAGAGAAAACCATTTTCATGGGAAAATTGCAAGCCATACTTTGGTCACTTAAAATAAAAACACTCAAATCCAATGAACCCTGAAGAAAAACTAAATGTGAAACAAGCATGCTTTTATATGCCTAGTCAATGGCCTTGTTTTTGAGAAAAATCTGTTTAAATTAAACAAAGTCTCTTGTAAAACAAACCCTTATGGCCTTAATGCATCAGCCCTTCTTCGAGCCTACTCCTGTCCTTCAAGAATTTGTACAAAGAATTTTCACGAATGTTAAAAAATAAAATAAACAAGAAACATAATCAAACTTTAAAGTTGTTTTTTATGGCTAAAGTAAAGTATTTGCTATGATGATATTCAGTGATTACCGTATGTTACTGAGATGAAGTGGAGGTGAAGAGGGAGGAGATGGAAAGATCCTTTATATACATCTATGAAAATAACTGTATGCTGCATTTGTAAAAATTTAGGGTACATAAGTATCACAGAAACAGAGGAAAATAACCATGTGGTGCCAGGATTAGCAGACTTTCTCATTATAAATCCTATTGTGCAATTTTGCACAATGATTCAGATATTAAATATGCATTCAATATGTATACTGGAAATCAAAATAAGGATTTAAAAAGTCTATCGATTACTCATACATTTCAGTTCAAAAATAATTTTGAAATTTTATTGTATTATTTTAAACACAAGTAGTGCATTGTATTATTTGGATAGGATGGAATTTATATGGTATTGCCTAAAGGTTATTAACCCTCACATCATTTAGATAGTTTAAGTCTTTAAAGAGAAAGAAAAAAGGGGTTATGCCAACATTCACTATGATTTCTAAGATGTTATTGTTAATATTTGTTTGTACCCCAACTTTTTTATTTAATAACTCAAGGCAGTAAATTTACCTAATACTACTTTCTCCTCTGTTGTCCCCACAACAACATTGTGAGGTAGGTTGAGAGAGATTTACTCAAAGTCACCCAACTTGCTTTCATGGCTAAGGCAGGACTTGAACTCATGGCCTCCCACTTTCTAGCCTGGTGCCTTGACCTCTAGGCCAAATTGGTTTGCAGCTTAAGGTTGCTTAAAATATACCGTATTTTTCGGAGTATAAGATGCATCGGAGTATAAGACACACCAAGGTTTTGAACAGAATTTTTTTTAAAGTAGGTAGGTAGATAGATGGATAGAGGGATAGAGAGGGATAGAGGGAGAGAGAGGGAGAGAAAGAGAAATACAGTAGATATGTAGGGAGAGAGAGAGGGTAGGTAGGTAGGTAGGTAAATAAAGGGAAAGAGAAAGAGAAATACAGTAGGTAGGTAGGGAGAGAGAGAGAGAAAGAGTAGGTAGGTAGATAGAGGGATATATAGATAGATAAAGAAATACAGTAGATAGGTAGGGAGAGAGAGTAGGTAGGTAGGTAGATAGAGGGATAGAGAGAGAGAAATACAGTAGATAGGTAGGGAGAGAGAGTAGGTAGGTAGGTAGATAGAGGGATAGAGAGAGAGAAATACAGTAGATAGGTAGGGAGAGAGAGTAGGTAGGTAGGTAGATAGAGGGATAGAGAGAGAGAAATACAGTAGATAGGAAGGGAGAGAGAGTAGGTAGGTAGGTAGATAGAGGGATAGAGAGAGAGAAATACAGTAGATAGGAAGGGAGAGAGAGTAGGTAGGTAGGTAGATAGAGGGATAGAGAGAGAGAAA